CGTGTCCCTGCAGTCTGAGGGCTCTGCTTAGGTCTTTCGTAACGCTGCTTCCCCACAGCGACGTCTTCTCTGTGGGCAGAGGATGCCTCATACCCAATTCCACTCAGAGTCCGAGTCCGGGCTTGTGATCTGCAACAAGTCTGTGGCCCTTGATAAAACACGCAGGGCACTGACTGTGCAAGGTTAAAAAGAAAATGACGCTGGCGTTTTGTTTCCCTCAGAAGAGAAAACTTTCCCAGCATTCTAAGAAATATATGATGACCATCTCTCTCTCCGTCATCTGTCATCATTATCACACGCCACTGTCGGGATAAAAGGCCTACTTTGGGGATGTATCTATGCTTGTTAAATTGATTCTATACAAAGAGATTTGAACAAAAATAATTATTCAAACTGCCAAGAGGTTTGCTGAGCAGCTGCAGCTACTCCAGAATTCTCTTTTCCTTCTTCGGTATGCTTCGCCCCTAGGAGACCTGGTTTCAAACTCGACTTCCCCTTGACTGCACGTCACACTCCAAGGCAGCATTTTCCGTAACAGCTGCTATACTGAATAGCACCTCGGTATCTTAATCCCACGAGTAGTAACTGGCCCGTTTAAGTTCCTCCTCCTGGGTGGGGCTCACTTGCAGACTGTTCAAAGAAGATTCTCATGTGCTATTTACTAGTTTCATCATCAAGTACTATTTACCCAGCACACCTGCCTGTAGTGGCAAAATCAGGCCAGGTCACCTGGGCAGGGACACGGGGGTCAGTCAGCTCATGGGGAGGGAAGCTCCTCGTTTATAATCATTCCTGCCACAGGAAAGTCCCAATCTGAGTGTAAAAGATGGAACTGCAGGTCACTAGGGGACAACCAACTTCTCCAGCCAAAGAGGCCACAAAAAAGTCTACACCCCACCCTCCTCTTACAGAAAGCCAGCGCTCAGGAACCTCCCATCTGGCACAGGAGTCACCCCGGTTGGCTGATGACCTTTGGAGCTCAACTCTTTTTTTTTTTCAGCAGTAAAGCTGCCCCCTCCTGCACAGCCTACTACCTTATCGGCAGGTATGGCTCCGTGGAGGTCCTCAAGCCCCACGCCACCTGGCCTGGTGACTGGTCTCTGAAGATCCCTCACCCCTGTACCCTCCCCCTGTCCATCCTCTTACCCAGCCAGAACCCTCTGCACAAGGCAGGCCAGCCTCCTCCCCCCGCCCTACGCCTGCTC